GAAAACAAGCCAACAATTAATAACTAGCAAAAAAAAAAACTGTTACTAACTAATAAAAAATTAGTCGAAAGAAATAATTAATCCCTTAATAAATGTGCTTTTGTAGTACATATTATTTTATTTCACATTCAAAACTATTATCACAAACTATTTAACACAGTGTATTATAGGTAATTAAACAACTTTTAAACTAATTTTTTTCATTGTGTGCCGTCAATTTTCGAAATCTTTAAAAGTGTGCCGCCACGAAAAAAAGATTGAGAATCACTGCTCTAGTGACTTCGTCAATAAATCTTTGAAATGTAGCTGCTGCGTTGCACAGTCCGAACTGCATGCGTGTACTTTCGAATACTCCAAAAGGTGTACAAATGGCCGTTTTATGAATGTCATCAGGGTTAATTGGAATCTAATGTGACTGAAAATTTTGGCGCCATGCAGTTCAGATGTGAAATCAGCTACACAAAGAATGGGATATTTTTCCTTCACTGTTTGTGCATTTAGTGCCCTAAAATCACCAACTGGCCTCCACTCCAGTGTTCTCTTTTTTGGGACCATGTGAAATGGGGATGCATAATTACTTCTAGATGGTCTTATGTGCCCTAATTCCATCATTTTTTTAAATTCTGATTTTGCAATTTTTAGTCTATCCGGAGCTAATCTGCGAGGTCTTGCTACTACTGGAGGACCTACCGTATTTATAAAATGAAGGGTGTTATGTTTTACGGGTTGATTGGGATCCGGTAATTTAGTAATTGAGGGAAATTCTGCTAAAAGTGAATGATTCACGGAATCACCTGATATTGTTTTAACTGAATGCAAAATTGTTTCCTTAACATGACCTTTTGTTTTAAATTTAGTCGTCAAATCTCTTAAACATTTATTGCGTAGATCTGGCACTAAAGCTAAAGAGTGAAGGAAATCGGCACCTAAAATTGGCGTCGTAATATTAGCAATAAAAAATGACCAAGAAAAAATTCGTCTTAATCCGAAATCTAAAGAAAGCGTTTTTTGTCCATAAACATTAATTGGTGTAGAATTAGCAGCGAAAACTGTTCGCAGAGGATTATTTCTTTTTTGAATATAATTTGCCGGGAGAATGGACACGTCGGATCCAGTATCGACCAGAAATGATAAGTTTGTTGTCCGGTCTCGAATGAACAGGCGACGCGATGTTTGTGGCAAAGAACATGTCGCGTTTATTCCTCGCCAACTCCGTTTTCCCGAAACTTACATGGCATAACGCATTTTCCTGGTTTACATTTGTTTCCAAAATTGCGATGGTACCAGCAAGCAGATGAATCTCAGTTTTTAACACTATTACTTCAGTTCCTGCGATAAGGAGAACGAGAACCAGAAATTTCAAGTTTGTCAATTCTTTCATTTAATTTTTTTATTTGGCGAAGTAATTTCTCTTCCATTGAATTTGAATCGTTTTCAGTTATAGAGTGGGTTTCCATGGGAACTGGCGTGACTTCTAGTATCTTATCGGAAATGTCGGCTGCTTTTTCTAAAGTTAAATCTGAAACAGCTGCTAAAATCGTTTGTACTGATGTCGGTAAACGCTGCAAAAAATAATTCTAACATAAGCTTTTCAGGGACTTTTAATGTTTCTGCACGACGTTTCATAATCCTTAGTAGTTCGGAAGGCTTCCTGTTACCCAGTTCTTCACCAGACAAAAGTTGGCGAATTTTTTGTTGCGATGACTCGCCTGATCTAACAATTAATTCTGTTTTTAAATTATTGTAAGGATCTGTAGCATCAGGATTCATTAAAATATCTTGTACAATTGATGCAATCTCTGGCGGTAATTGAGAAACAATGTAATTATATTTGGTTATAGATTCTGTTATAGGTTTGGGAGATTCCAATCTAAACGTGCTTTCACACATAATAAACCAAAGAGCAGGATCTGATCTGTTATATAGTGGTATTTGTACAGCACTTACCTCAGACATGGCGAAAGAAGTCTGAATGGTGTCACAATATTTTTTTTTCCAAACTGAGATCAGAGTCAAACTAAACAAAATTCTTGATGGATATAATTAATATCAATTCAAATCGTCCGCATGGTCACCATTGAAGTGTTGTTTTATCACTTTAATACAAGATAGTCTTATTCAGAAGGTTAGCAAATATTTATTCACCACAGCTGTTCTATGTTTCATCCAGACTGTTGCCATCCAGCATATAATAAATAATTTATAATCATCTTACTTAATCGATTCATTATCGATTAAGAATAATACTACAGTTCTCTTGGCAGAATGATAAGTTGCATACATATTATTCCCAAAAATGAATTTATATCAATCCGTATTTCTGGCATTTTCTGACTATTGGAATGTTTAAAACTGAATTGGTTCTCTTGGCAGAATGATAAGTTGTATACGTATTATCCACTAGAAATGAATTTATATCAGTCCTTATTTCTAGCATTTTCTGACTATTGGAATATTTACAATTAAATTGATGCTCTATGCAGAACAGAATGATAAGTTGTATGCATATTATACCCAAAAATAATTTGACATCGTCAAACCATATTTCTATTTCTACCACAATCAGACAACTTGAAATGTTTAAAACCTAATTAACCTTATGTTGAATTATAAGTTAAATTAAAATTGTTTTCTAAAGGGTACAGACAAAATTTATCGCTAACTGAAATTTTGCTTACTTTCTGAAACAAGCTAGCAGGCATTATGAATCTGAAAAAATAAATAAGAGGAATAACATTTTAAAAATTACATTTTTCAAAAAAAAGAAAAAAACAACTAAAATGGAGAAAATAATTTTATTTTGGTCTAATCTGAAACAAAAAACGAAGTTTCTAATAAATTTTTATAACTATTAAGTATTTCTTTAACATTTTGACAAGTCAAGTACCCTACTTCCTTTCTTCTGTCAAAAATATAATTATTTCTTTTTTATTTAGTCTATTTGAAATTATTTCTTTTAAAATAACGTTTCCGCGACGAGGAAGAAAAGATTGGCTAGTTTAATAAAACATGTTAGTACACTGTGTAAAATGAAGATGAATGGAATATACAATCACCAGAAAGATAAAATAAAAGCATAGATCTGTTGTCTATCATTTTAAAACTAAACGTCAAGACCAGCTGTTGTGTTAAGCTTTATTCTTATGATTCCAATTCACATGTAAAACAAATCAAATCACAGGTGTTTCCTTAGGAAATTAAATATTAGAGAAGTTAAGTATAAATATATGGACTAAAACAAGACTCATTCAGTTACTCATAAATCCTCTATTTCTTTCCTGCATAAGGTAAGTATCTATTGGTATCAAAACACTTAAGTAAGGATACAGATTTTCCTAATCATCAACCATGGTTTTGGGTTCTGATGAAAATTATTCGAAAACGGGTAAAGCGTTGATGCGTATGACGAGGGAGATGAGCCTAGAACAGCAAGGAGCGAATTGCAAAAAAATTGAAAAAGGTCAGAATTATCTGGACGCGACAGTTGCTATAGCAGGCGTTGCATTAGGAGTGTTTGCCTTGTTTAGCATGCCACTGCTAATCGTGGTCTCCTCCGCGCTATTAGTTAATGTACTGATTGCCAAGGCTTTAACAGCGGACGAGAACATTGAAAGAGAATGTGCTGATCTCCCTTTTAAAGAGTTAGACGAAAAAATGAAAGCTAGACAAGAGGAAACAGATAGAAAAATTGCAGAACAAACTGAAATTTTGAAAGAAGTAAGTGAAAAAGTAGGCCAAACTCTCGACAAAATAGAAGATGTAAGAAAGGAAATGGGCGATAGCTTTCAGAGGGTATTGAATAAAATCGGGGATCTAGATGCCAGTAATCCAGTTTCCGAAATAAAAACTGCGATTGAATCCATTTCATTTGGGGAAGAGAACAAAAGATTAGCGACTCCTGAGCGTTATGTTTATATCATCCAGCAGGAAGTGGCAAAAAATTCAGATTCATCTCTTTACAATTACATCGGACTTCAAGGTAGTCTGTATAAGGCCATTTTTGCAGTCATTAACAAGAAGAATACCATTAAATCAAACATTGCCCTTCCCGGACTCAACATTGGAGTTACAACATACGCATCGACCATTATTACTCTAATTCAGCAACTACGTTACATGTCGGAATATGTATACCAAAAGGGTGACTTGAAAAAGTTCAACGACTATTTCAATCGTCTAATTTTTGATTTCAACTATTTCAAACTGATAGTTAATGGTTCCTCAAAAAAGCAAGGTATAATTGATCAAGTAACTCAGATGTTAAACGACGCAAAAAAAAGCAAAAGCAAGCAAGATCTTGGCGAAGAATTGTTCGACAATATTGGAACATACATCACCCAACTTAATCAATTAAAGCAAAAGATTGCAGCACTTTCATTACACGTACTCGAAGCCACTCCAGATAAAAACATGGATATTGATTTCAACTCCAGAACTGGGAATCAACGCAGTAGTACTAACTTCTTGGACTGGAAGAAAGGCACAAAGGTGAGTTACGCGGTGCAGTTCGAAAAAGATGGTAAGTATTCTAAAGTTAGCGATTGGACTTCACCACAGGAAATAGTGGATATAGCCAATCCAGATATTGTATTCCGAAAATCGAGTAATATGAATAGATTAGTCTTCCGTAAATTTGGCAATGGTGATGCAGAATTGGCATACATCCTCCCTGGCTCGGAAGTAAAATTTAGAGACGTCCACAGGGATTTGTATAATTTAGCTTTTAAAAACTCCCTCAGCGAGTCGCAGGTTTCAAGTAGCATGGATAGACTCATTAGATTGGGAGCGAATGTTAAGACAGTTTTTGAGGGTAAACGAACCGTTATTCATGCTGCAGCTATTGCTGGACGATCTGTTATGTTAGGTAAGATATTAGAAAAAGACCGTTCTCTCATTAATAAACCAGATAGACTCGGCTTCACCCCTCTTCACTTGGCTGCTGAAAATAAAAGGACCGCTTTTGCACGATGGCTAATTAATCGCGGAGCAAACGTTAACTTACAAGGACAGGAATATAAAGTGACTCCACTGCATTTGGCTGTGCGTTATCATGCCGAAGAAATTGTAGAAGCCCTGTTGGATAAATCAAACATTAACCCGAATTTAAAAGATGTAGCCGGTCTCACTCCTTTGCACTATGCTGTAACTGACGAAAATTACAATAAACATCTTTTCACTACATTAATCAAAAGTCGGAAAACAGATTTGAATGTAAAGGATAACAATGGATTAGCAGTCGTGCATTATGCAACCATTCTCGATAGATGGGAAGAGATAATCGATTTAACTATTGAAGGTGACAGATTTGATATTTATGCAAAAGATAACCAGCAAATGTTAGCTGTTCATTACGATGCTATGAAAGGAAATAAGAATGAGCAATTAATATCTTCTATGATGGCGGATGACAAAGCATCTAAGCTTAATGATGCAGCAGGCGAGAAACATTGGACTCCTTTGCATTATGCCGCATTTTTCAAGCAAACTGCTTGGGTAAAATACCTGTTTCATTGGCATGAAAGAGTGATTTCAAAAATCAATGTAGATGCTAAAGATGTTGATAATCAAACTCCTTTGCACTTAGCTGCAGCGGCAGGTTTGAAAGATATTGTTAAAATTCTTCTGGAAAAAGGAGCAAAAGTTTATGAAAAGACGAAGAAACAAAATACACCTCTTGATCTCGCAGTTATGCACAATAGAAAAGAAGTTATTGATGATTTGCTGACATTTGAAAAGAATCAAAAATTGAAAAATGGAAAGTCTGCTAAAGAAAATGATAGTAAGGCGTGTCAATTAGCAAAAGGAGAGATGTTAAATCTATTAAAGAAGAAGAATCGTTGTGGCAATTTCCGCCGCTCGATTGAATCGAATTCTAAAAACTCTGCTCGGGGATTCACTCTTACTGGCATTTGTTAATTTCGAATAAACCAAAAGAGAATTTGGAATTCAAAAATACTAAACCTCTCACACAAGTAGATGTGAATGGTGCTTTGCTTTTACTGGATCTCTTCGTACGGAAAGTGACGAACGAAAAATACAATTCTGCAGTGATTGGTTCTGAATCTATGTTGGATGCGCGAGCTCGAGCTTTAAACATCACGGATAACTTGCAAAAGATCATGGAAATGACAGGAAATGATGGAGATCTGTTTGACATTTATTCGAAGATATACAAGGCTATTAGGAGCGGAAATGATTCTAAACTTGGAAAAGAAGTATGCATCTATTTAAACCAGTATTCCACTTTGGAACCACAAGAAGTTGAAAACTTTATTTCCGCAATGGTTGAAAAGAAATCTGTCGGAATTACTAAGAAAGCTATTCCGAGTAACTTAGAAAACTTAGTCGCTCAGGCCTGCTATCGAAATCTCTTTTAAATATTTCCGTTTTTTAAGGCAGAGCAACTAAAACTAGCTAGTAATGAAAACAGCCGACAAACAAAAAATTAACTCTTTATAATTTTTCTTTGAAACATTGCGCTCTCTTTAATTCGTTATTGCCATCGTTTGATACTCTTCGTAATTATAATAAAATTTGGCAATATGTGTAGTTTTTATTATCCTATAAAAACAAGATAAACACAATAATTATTAGAAATATGAATCTTTTAATTTTGTACTGTTTGCTTTGAATCAAGATTTCTAAAAGCTTGAGTAAGAACAAATTTAAGAAAATACCCAAATGATTTAAATATCGATATACTACGATTGTTTTATTTGAATTATTTATTCAATCTCCATTTTGGAGTAGACTTAAAAATAAAAAGAGAAATTTACCCAATACTTGTTTTAAAAATGATGTTTAAATCAATGCAGAATATTAAATTTTTACAGAAACTAACGCTTAAATTTTATAGAATCCTTTTAATTGCGAATAATAACGGAGTGTGAATAAAATTTTCTCAGGCCTTTTATGAACTTTCTTTTTAATTTGTTACATTTTTCTCAAAGATGAGTAAAAAATTTAGAGTAGTACGGTTAGGTTCAAAGTAAGGAATTCCTTACTCAGAATAAAAGTAAGACGTGATTGATTCGCGTCAATGTATATTTCATGAAAATATATTCATAAATTATTTTTAAAATATTTAGAAGCTATTGAATTGGGCAAGTATTACTTTATAAAATTACAAAAAAGCCAAAATATCATGGATCATTTATACATTTCGCTACAGCGAAATTTTTTTTATTTTTCATTTTCTCTTTTATCTATTGTTTTCTAAACTGATTAACTTAATTTTAAAAATCAAATGTTTTATTTTCTTTCCTTTAACGCTTGGTAAAAAATTACATCTTTTTTTTTATCTTTTCGTTTTCTTTTTGGTTTTTTAAAACTCTATGTGGAGGATTTTCTAAACTTTCTAAACTTTCTCTATGTGGATGATTTTCTAAACTTTGATTAAACTTTCTACGAGTGTCATTGTCAGTTGTTAATACGATAAAAGAATTATTAAGCACTACAGGCCTTCCAAACGAATGATTCCTTATTAAGAAAATATAAGTTACAGGCATCTGATCTGTTTTTGAAACATTTTCTAGACAAATGAAGATATTATAAGTTGAAAAAAAAAACAGTCAAGATGCTTAATACTATAAAGAAATATTTATTAATCTGCCAAATTTTCAAAAGAGAATGTTTTTAATAGAAAAAAGATTAATTGTAAAAACCTGATTTGATCTTCAAAGCGAAGAAGCATTTTCTGATTAACTGAAAATAATACACTTAAAGAGATCAGTTAAAGATACAGTTAAAGTTCAGAAGCAGTTTTAAAATACTTCATTTCACAGGTTTCAAAAACAAATCATTGCCGAATGTGTACTTATCTGAAATAATTGATTAGTCAGCCAGTATTTGAAAGAAACTGAATTTAATGTTATCAAAATGTCCTTACTCATTTTCGTTTTAGTTTTGCATGAGCATTTCAAAAATCAGAAACAGATTTTATTGGAATTTAATGTTGAGTTTATATCATAAACAAATATTAGATAAGCTGAATTCATTTTAAAAAAATAGTGCATGAAAAAATTGAAACATTCGAGCATTTGAGGAAATCGTTTTCTTCAAAAGAATTTATTTTAAAGATGCAATGAAAAATTAATTTTTGTTTCAAAACATCGGTGATAGTTTGAACTGAAAAGCTCGAAATAATCAATGCAAATACTTTTGAAGAAAATGAAGTTTTTCTAAATACTAGCTTTACAGGGTTCACTTCCTGCTACTCAATCTCTTTAATCGTAATATTAAAAAACGACATTTTAAGTAATTTCCTGATTTTAGGAAAATAAATTAGTGAAGTGTAACAGTAACACATGATAGAGACTTTAAGAAATGTTCCAGTAAAAGAAAGCCATTATGAAATTAATTTAAGTAATATTAATATAAAAATTTAGGTTGATTGATGTAAAAGAAACATCAGACTTACTAGGTGACATCATTTACTAGGTGTTGTTTTCGTTTAAATTTGGAGTTTTAAGCAAAAAGAGAAAAAAAATAAGTATCAGTATTAACGTGCTGAACAAAGAATTTTTAAATAGCAATACTTAGTACTAAGCATGAGTAAAAATTAAAAAATATAAAGTTTTTACGATTGTTAGTATCTAAACTTCATTATGAAGGGAAAATTGAGACCTGATTTCAGGTGGATAAGCATGAAGTGACCCCTTGAAAAGAATTTTTATCAAATTTATAACGAAAATAATTTATGCCTGTAGAAAAGTCGTTCCTAAAAAATTACAGTGCCGTGTTAGTCATGAAATTCCATAATGCAGATTTCGGACTTTATACATTGGGATGATAGAAGGGCATACAAACATTAATAGTTAGTGCTTATTTCTTAAAGAAAATTTGTTCATAAAACAATATTATGCTGAAACTTACTTGTATGATATAAGTTGGAAACCTGAAAATAAGTTCTATTATGAATAATTGACATTAATAGTTTTCATGTATAAAATTAATGTATTTTTCATGTACATGGTTTTTTACTCTTGAATATGTTTATGAAATGATATAAGAATACAAAAACTGGAAGATAAATTCATGATAATTTTTTCATTTTTTCCTATTTATTGTTGAAAGAATGTCAAACGAAAGTATTTGTATAAATACTTTCTTAATCTTACGTATATTCTTAATCTTCTGAGTTCGTAATCTTTTGACTTATTTAAAGATGACTTATTTAAAACTATTTTATCATACTTTAAAAGATTAATGGACACATTTTTTTCTGGATCTAAGTTGGCATATATTTATGTATACTGTTATAATCTTGTTCACTATTATATACTATTTATCCTGTTTACTATTATATTTTTTTTATTAAAATACGATACGCAGTGAAGAATTGGGTATAATATAAAAAAAACACAACTACTTCCACTTAGTAGGAATAACATTTACCATGACGCAATGCTAAATTCTATGACACTATCCACATAAATCAATTATTAATCAAAAATCGAATATCAATTACTTTTCTTTATAATGCAATTAAATCTGACGAGCAGCTATTCAAACGATCAAACACTTCGTTTGTTTATTTGTGGCTTGAAGTTAGGCTCGCAGAAAATGCTGTTCATGGGTTAAATTTAGTAGGAATAACACAACCTGTGACGTAGGCTATAGTATACCCAATTAGGAAATAAATTTAACTGGAATATTCTAATAAAATAATGTGTTTAAATGTTATACTGTATGAAAAAACTATAAACATAACTAGTTTTTTTCTACTATTTGGTAATAAGACTCTATTCTATTTATCAAAATATACAAACTATGTATTTGATGATTAAAATAGAATTGCCGTACTTATACCTTTTTAAAGATTCTAAATGTAAAACCCTATAAACAAATGAATGATTGAATTTTTAATATGACAGAATGACCTTAAAAATAATAATAATAAAAGCAATCTAGTTCACTCATGTTCTATTTTTAAGACTGTACAAAAGAGGAGGGAAAGTAAACCACTCTTTTCAGTACCTATCAAGCAGATTTCTTGTTAATTTTCAACAGCTCATTGGACAGGAGTTGAAAGATCATCTCGAAATCTATCATATTTTCGATTCATAAAAGAGCAGATGTGTGATTTAGAATTGCTTTAAAAACAATCTTGAAATATTCACAATGTTGCGACAGCAGAGCAATGATACAAAATGGCATGGATGACCTTAAAGACCATCTCGACATATTTCATATGTTTTCATCTTGCAAGAACAAATGACGGATGACCTTAAGCAATATCTTGATATCTTCCCTACATTTTGATATTAAGAGAGAAGATCAGTGATACACATGGCATTGATCACCTTAAAGACTATCTTGAAAACTTCCATACATTCTGATATTAAAAAAGATCACTGATACAACACGACATGGATCACATTGAAGTCCGTCTCCAAATCTTCGATGCTTTCTGATTTCATAAGAGCAAATAAGTGTCAGAATTCAATGGAAATAAATTATTTTTTTATATATTTCTGTTGATGCCAGAAAGTTTCATTGATTCGATGATTAAAGTTGGTTAATTTATATTTTGATTATTTCTGAAATCCNCTGTATGAAAAAACTATAAACATAAGTAGTTTTTTTCTACTAGTTGATAATAAGACTCTATTCTATTTATCAAAATATACAAACTATGTATTTGATGATTAAAATAGAATTGCCGTACTTATACCTTTTTAAAGATTCTAAATGTAAAACCCTATGAACAAATTAATGATTGAATTTTTAATATGACAGAAAGACCTTAAAAATAATAATAATAAAAGCAATCTAGCTCACTCATGTTCTATTTTTAAGACTGTACAGAAGAGGAGGGAAAGCAAACCATTCTTTTCTGTACCTATCAATCAGATTTCTTGTTAAATTTTAACAGCTCATTGGACAGGAGTTGCAGCTTTGTTGAAAGATCATCTCGAAATCTTTCATATTTTCTGTTCATAAAAGAGCAGATGTGTGATCTAGAATTGCTTTAAAGACAATCTTGAAATATTCACAATGTTGTGTCAGCAGAGCAATGATACAAAATGGCATGGATGACCTTAAAGACCATCTCGACATATTTCATATGTTTTCATCTTGCAAGAACAGATGACGAATGACCTTGATGACCTTAAACAATATCTTGAAATCTTTTATACATTCTGATATCAAAAGAGAAGATCAGTGATACAACATGGCATTGATCACCTGAAAGACTATATTGAAATCTTCCCTACATTCTGATATCAAAAGAGAAGATCAGTGATATACCATAGAATTGATCACCTTAAAGACTATCTTAAAATCTTCCATACATTTTGATATTAAAAGAGATCACTGATACAACATGGCATGGATCACCTTAAAGTCCGTCTCCAAATCTTCGATGCTTTCTGATTTCATAAGAGCAAACAAGTGTCAGAATTCAATAGAAAAAAAATATTTTTTTATATATTTCTGTTGATGCCAGAAAGTTTCATTGATTCAATGATTAAAGTTGGTTAATTTATATTTTGATTATTTCTGAAATCCAATCATGATTTACAGTATGCTGTGATTTTTTTTAAAAAAAGACAGATATTTAGCATATAGTTAGTTGTGATTTTGTAAAATATTTTTAAAAAATGAATGTTAAAAAATAAAGTTTTCCTATATTATTTTCTCTATTCGAAAGATTTGATCGAAAGAAAAAATTCTTCTGGACATACAAGATTTCTAAAATAAGAAGATCAAAGCCAATGCTTAAGCATGATACCCACCGTCATGCAATTATATGTCTAAGGGATGTTCAAAGGGATTTATAAAGTTCGACCTTGAAATTAAATACAAAATATTCATGTAAAACAAAGAAATACTGAAATCTTAGAGTGAGAAAAAGTGAAATTGTGTTATACTTAACTTCTTAGAGAAAAACAGTTGCAGTTATTAAACATAAAATTTTTTCATCAATGAAAATGAGTTTTGTAAACAGCTTTTTCAAATTTTTATTCAATTGGACAACGAGTTTCTCAAATGTTACTTAACTATGTTATTCCACTAAGTTCTTCAGTTATCATTCTATTATGAAACATGCATAATTTATTATTTAAAAAAATAATGTATGTGTAACAGAATGAATTATGCAACAGAATGTATAAAGAGCAGAGTGTATAATGGAACTGGATGTATAATCTCACAGAATCATGTATGTATAATATAACAGAATGTGTAATGAAATTGGATTCATAATCTCACAGAATCATATATGTATATTATAACAGTATGTATAATCAAGCATATTGTATGGTAAATATAACAGAATGCAGAATGACACAGAATATTGTATTTTCTTTTTGAAGACAAGAATTTGTTAAAACTTTGAATTATTAGAATTATGCATGTTTTGAACATTTTTAATTATTTTAATTTCTCTTGAAAATAATATTTCTAACTTTACTAGATCAAATTTAATACCTTTTAATATTGCAGCATGGTAAAATTAAATAAAAATTAATTGTATCGCTTGTTTTAAAAAGATTGTCAGATTAAAAAAAAGGGTTGTAATCTGTGATCATACACGTTTTTGGTCCCTACATGAGATAGTGTTTACTGTATAAATTAATAATAATTTTGCAATCCTTCTTAGATACTTTAAGAATACTAATATTTCAAAATTTAGTTTTATTGCCTGCTTTAAAATAGGAAAAATATTTTTATTTACTAATTGAATTTATTTAAAATTAATTAATGGTGTCTATTGCAAATTATTGTGATTTGATTTCATAATTCTATGTTGTAAATTGCTGATACTAAATAGTCTAATAAAAAAAATTTGAGCATAAAACTATTGTTACTTCTAAATATGAATCATTAGATTTACAGTTTGCTCAAGAAAAATAACATTCAGATCGAGGAGGAAAAGTGATATCAATGCTAAATGACCCAATCCATTAGAGTTGCTCTATAAATACAGGTTACAATGAAACCAATCCGATGTCTGGTAATACTGCCTATCTTTAATATCAATTTTCAGAATCCTTTTTCACAAATTAGTATTCATAGACATTTTCAGAATCCTTTTTCTCAAATTAGTATTTTCAGAATCCTTTTACACAAATTAATATTCACATATATTTGTAGAATCCTTTTTCACAAATTAATAGTCACATAAATTTTCAGAACTCTTTTTCACAAATTAGTATTCATATATATTTTTAGAATCCTTTTGCGCAAATTAATATTCGTATACATTTTCAGAATCCTTTTTCACGAATCAATATATATTTACTATTGAATCATTACTGAGAAATAAAAAATTTGTTAAGAAATTAAAATTTGTTTGAGTACTGGAGGAAATAAATAGATGCTGCTAACACACCTTCAAAATACAACCAGCAAACAAGTTTTATTTTTCAGTTTCCGAATGCAATACAGTGATTTTATTTCTTGGACATTAATTTGAAAAATCTAATATGCACATTTCTTTAACGGTGATTATAGGAAACTATGTCAAAGGTTGTGCTTACGTAACACCATGTACATTAAATTACGTTTATATATTTGTTATCCCTAATATATTCATTTTTTTGTCAGGGATTCTATGTTAAAGTTAGTGCTTACGGAACGACACGTACTTTAAAAATCATTGACATTAGTGACTGAAAGCTTAAAGTTCGCTTGTGAGCATACAATAGCATAAAAATATTATATAGTTAAAAATAAATAATTAATACAGTAAAGTGAACTAGCAAAAAAGTACTTTTTTTATGGATTTTTTTTTTTAAATGTAACGAAACAATTGGATTTTGGCTATGATGTATTGTATTCACATACACTATAAATGTTTTTTACTCAGATTTGAAAACTATCTTTAATATTTTCTTACAATGCTCCCTGAACCATTCTTATTTTTAATTTCAACTATTTATGACAATAAATCTGATTCTAGCAGACCCGCATGATGAACATCGGTTTGCTTATCAATAGTTTCAACAAACTGGGATGGAATGGTTGGCAGGGCGTTGAGCCCATGTCAAAGGGTTGTGAGTTTAATTCCCGCCGGTCGAAGACTTCCCGTGTTGCAAATGGTAACTGGTGCGTGATAAATCTCTCGGGCCATGAAGTCCTCCAAGTGCCCATAACAGATCAATACCTCTGAGGGTACTGAATTGGAGATTGATCGCTCTCTGATACAGGTCAAAGTTACGATCTGTGGATGAATGGATGTATGAATGAGTCCGCCCCTTAGAAACAGGCAGTGACATGTGTGTCTGACAGAAATCGTATTCTTGGCCATAGATTTCGCTACTCAGAAACAAGAAACGCACCTTTTGCCTCAAATTCGCTTGGTTTCACCAAGCAGGATTGCTGTAATTGTGAAGTAGCATTAGAAACAACAACACATAGTTTCACTAAAACGCTCTTTTGCTTATGAAATTTTTTTATGTTATAACATTTTTAAATTATAACATTTTTCTGTTAACTTCTTTCCGTGTCACTGAGTGTGGAAGTTTGAAATTAAAATTTCAAACACTTTCTTAATATCTCGTGCTTTGTAAACTCTTCTTGAGCTTTTTGCCTGATGATGAGGAACGTTTCAATGTTTCACTGACAGCTAGGAGGATAATTTATCTTCATATTATCACAAAATAAAATTTATCCTCATTCAAAATCCATCCTACTCGCTTTAAGAAAATTTGCCACATTTTTACTATAAGGAATTTATCGTCAATCCAAATTTCTGCAATTTTTAAAAATATATGCAATCTGCAGAAAAAGAACTGCATCACTGCATTCAATGATAATGTAAGTTAAATTTAAGTTTATTTAAATCTAAGCTAAATTAAAATAATTTAAATTAAACTAAGCCTTCACGGAGTAAATTTATCGCTAATCGAAATTCAGTTCACTTTATGGCAAAATGAACAAAAAAAAATTCAAAACTCTGTTATTAAGTATATTAAAAATGATAAAAATAGCTTTACTTTGGATAGACAAAATATAAATAAATAAATAAAACCAAAAAAAAGCTAAAAGAGCATTGCTTTTGCTCTCAACGTCGATCAACATTAAAAATTTCTTATGCATTTTTACAGGTGACAATCCCAAGGTTTTTCGTTTGATACTAGCAAAAGTAAAACAATTTTCTCGATTTTAAACAATTTGAAAATCGCAGTTTTAAATTTTTTTTATTTATTTTAATTTATTACTAAAAATAACTTTAAAACCAAGGAAGAAAAAAAGGTTGCTTTATCCTAATTATTGGAATTTCTTAATACGCTACAAAAGGGTGAAAAATGAAATGAAAATTTTGAAGAGCAGATGTCTATCTTTCTTAAATGAAATGTCAAAACCAGCTGTTTAGTTGTCATAATTCATCCTTTGACTATTGCTTTGTTTCGCTTCAGCGTTTTAATTCCAATTAATATGTGGAACATATCAAGACCAGATGGCAGTTGGCTTCTTAAAATACTTATTACGGGTAGCTAAGTATAAATATCCGGATTAAAAGAGACTCAATCCTATTAAGTTCTATCTTTCTTTCTTGCATACAGTAAGTATCGATAACTATAAGTAAGTATATCGATTTCTTATAATTTATCACCATGGATTTGGGTTCGAATGAAAATTATTTGGAGACGGGTAAATCGTTGATGCGTATGACGAGAGAGATGAGCTTAGAAGAGCAAGGAGCGAATTGCAAAACAATTGAAAAAGGTCAGAATTATATGGACGCGACAATTGGTATAGCCGGTTTTGCATTAGGTGTGGCAGCCTTGTTTACCATGCCAATGTTAATCGTGGTCTCCTCCGCTCTATTAATTAATGTACTGATTGCCAAAGCTTTAACAGCAGATGAGAACATTGAGAGAGAATGTGCTGATCTCCCTTTCAAAGAGTTAGACGAAAAAATGAAAGCTAGACAAGAAGAAACAGATAGAAAAATTGCAGAACAAACTGAAATTTTAAAAGAAGTAAGTGAAAAAGTTGGCCAAACTCTCGACAAAATAGAAGATGTAAGAAAGGAAATGGGCGATAACTTTCAGAGGGTATTGAATAAAATCGGGGATCTGGATGCCAGTAACCCAGTTTCCGAAATAAAAACAGCGATCGAATCCATTTCATTTAGTGAGGAGAACAAAAGGTTAGCAACTCCTGAGCGTTATGTTTACATCATCCAGCAAGAAGTAGCAAAAAATTCAGATTCATCTCTTTACAATTACATTGGAATGCAAGGTAGTCTGTATAATGCCATTTTTGCTGTGATTAACAAGAAGAATACCATTAAACCAAACATTGCCCTTCCCGGACTCAACATTGGAGTTACGACTTACGCATCGACCGTCATTACTCTCATTCAGCAACTACGTTACATGTCGGAATATGCTTACCAAAAGGGTGATTTGAAAAAGTTCAACAACTATTTCAATCGTCTTTGCTTTGATTTCAATTATTTCAAACTGATAGTTAATGGTTCCTCAAAAAAGCAAGGTATAATCGATCAAGTTACGCAGATGTTAAACGAAGCAAAAAAAAGTAAAAGCAAGCAAGATCTTGGCGATGAATTGTTCGACAATATTGGAACATACATCACCCAACTTAATCAATTAAAGCAAAAGATTACAGCACTTTCATTAGATGTGCTCGAAACCACCCCAGATAAGAACATGGATATTGATTTCAACTCCAGAACTGGGAATCAACGCAGTAGTAGTAACTTCTTAGACTGGAAAAAAGGCACTAAGGTCAGTTACGCAGTGCAGTTCGAAAAAGATGGTAAGTATTCTAAAGTTAGTGGCTGGACTTCACCACAGGATATAGTGGATATAGCCAATCCGGATATTGTATTCCGGAAATCGAGCAATATGAATAGATTAGTCTTCCGTAAATTTGGCAATGGCGATGCAGAATTGGCATACATCCTCCCTGGCTCGGAAGTAAAATTTAGAGACGTCCACAGGGATTTGTATAATTTAGCTTTTAAAAACTCCCTCAGCGAGTCGCAGGTTTCAAGTAACATGGATAGACTCATTAGATTGGGAGCGAATGTTAAGGCAGTGTTTGAGGGTAAACGAACCGTTATTCATGCGGCAGCTATTGCTGGACGATCTGTTATGTTAGGTAAGATATTAGAAAAAGACCGTTCTCTCATTAATAAACCAGATAGACTCGGCTTCACCCCTCTTCACTTAGCTGCTGAAAATAAAAGGACCGCTTTCGCACGATGGCTAATTAACCGTGGAGCAAACGTTAACTTACAAGGACAGGAATTTAAAGTTTCCCCTCTGCATTTGGCTGTGCGTTACCATGCCGATGAAATTGTAGAAGACCTGTTAGAGAGCTCAAAAATAAACCCGAATTTAAAAGACATAGCAGGCCTCACTCCTTTGCACTATGCTGTAACTGACGAAAATTACGATAAATATTTTTTCACTACACTAATAGATAATAAGAAAACAGATTTGAATGTAAAGGATAACAATGGATTAGCAGTTGTGCATTATGCAACCATACTCAATCGCTGGGAAGAGGTAATCGATTTAACTTACAAAAAAGAAAGATTTGATATTTTTGCAAAGGATAACCAGCAGATGTTAGCTGTTCATTATGATGCTATGAAAGGAAATCAGGTTGAAGAATTAGTAGCTATGGAAGATGACAAAGCGTCTAAGCTTAATGATGCCGCCGGCGAGAAACATTGGACTCCTTTACATTATGCCGTATTTTTTAAGCAAACTGCTTGGGTAAAATATCTGTTTCGGCAGCAAAAAAAAGTGGTATCAAAGATTAATGTTGATGCCAAAGACGTTGATGATCAGACTCCTTTGCACTTAGCTGCTGCAGCTGGCTTGAAAGATATTGTTAAAACACTTTTGGAAAAAGGAGCAAAAGTTTATGAAAAGACGAAGAAACAAAATACACCTCTTGATCTCGCAGTCATGCATAATAGAAAAGAAGTTATTGATGATTTGCTGACATTTGAAAAAGATCAAAAATTGAAAAATGGGAAGCCTGCCAAAGAAAATGATGCTAAGGCGTGTCAATTAGCAAAGGGAGAGATGTTAGATCTACTAAAGAAGATGGATCGTTGCGGCAATTTCCGCCGCTCGATTGAATCGAATTCTAAAAACTCTTCTCGGGAAATCACTCTTACTGGCATGTTTGAAAATAATAATTTAAGACCTTTGTTAACTTCGAATAAACCAAAAGAGAATTTGGCATTCAAAAATATTAAACCGCTAACACAAGTAGATGTAAATGGTGCCTTGCTCTTACTGGATCTCTTCGTACGGAAAGTGACGAACGAAAAATATAATTCTGCAGTGATTGGTTCTGAATCGTTGTTAGATGCACGAGCTCGAGCTTTAAATATCACGGATAACTTGCAAAAGATCATGGAAATGGCAGGAAATGATGGAGATCTTTTTGACATTCATTCGAGGATATACAAGGCTATTATGAGCGGAAATGATTCCAAACTTGTAAAGGAAGTATGCACTTATTTAAACCGGTATTCCACTTTGGAACCGCAAAAAGTTGAAAAATTTATTTCTGCAATGTTTGAAAATAAATCAGCCAGAATTACTAGGAAAGCAATTCAAGGTAATTTGGAAAACTTAATTGCTCAGGCCTGCTATCGAAATCACTTTTAAATATTTCCGTATTTTAAGGCAGAGCAAATAAAACTGTTTAGCAACGAAAATAGCCAGCAACAGAAAATTAACACAATATAATTTTGCTTTGAAACATTGCACTCTCTTTTATTCGTTATTGCCTCTTCTTATTGCCTATAACAAAATTTGGCAATATGTATATTTTATTATCATATAAAGACAAGCAAAAGGATTATTAGAATTATGAATCTTTCAATTTTGTACTGTTTGCTTTGAGTCAAGATTTCAAAAAGCTTGAGTGAAAGCTAAAATAAAAATAAAAAATACCCAGAGGATTTAAAAATTGACACATTACGATTGTTTTCATTTGAAATATTTATTCAATCTTTATCATGGAGTAGGCTTAAAAACAAAAAGGAAAATTTACGCAACACTTTTTTTAATAATTATATTCGAGTCAGACTTAATGCAGAACATTAAATTTTTGCAGAAATTAATGCTTAAATTTTAAAGCATTGCTTTATGTCCGAATAATAACGGAATGTAAATAAAATTTTCTCAGGCCCTTAATAGACTTTTTTTTAATTTGTTACATTTTTTTTTTAACTATGAGTGCAAAATTTAAAGTAGTACGGCTAGGTTCAAAGTAAGGAATTCTTTACTCAGAATAAAAGTAAGACGTGATTGATTCACGTCAATGCATATTCTATGAAAATATATTCATAAATTATTTTTAAAATATTTCGAAACTATTGAATGGGGCACTTTTAAATGTATTACTTCATATACATAATTACAGAAAAGCCCAAATATTTCACATCATTTATACCTTTGGCTACAGCAAAGTTTAGTTTTATTTTACATTTTAACTTTTATCTATTGGTTTTTTAAACTGACTAACTTAATTTTAAAAATTAAGTGTTTTCTTTTCTTTCCTTTAACACGCGGTGAAAAATTGTATCGTTTTTTTAATCTTTCATATTTTTCTTTTGGTTTTTTTAAAATATGATCTATGTGGATGATTTTCAAAACAGGAAAACTTTTTCCTCAAAATTCGAAGCTACAATAATTCGAAGCGCTTATAATTATGTTTAACCTTTTCACGGGTCATTATCAGTTGTTAATACGATAAAAGAATTATTAAGCATTACAGGCCTTCGAAACAAATGATTCTTTATTTGGAAATATAAGTTATAGACATCTTATCTGTTTTTGAAACATTTTCTAGACAAATGAAGCTATCACAAGTTGGAAAAAAACAGTTGGGATGTTTAGTACTATAAAAAAATATTAATTAAATTTTCAAAAAGACTGTTTTTTTTTTTAAAAAAAAAAGATTTATTGTAAATACATGATTTGATTTTAAAGGCGAAGAACTATTATCTGAATAACTGAAAATAGTACAGTTAAAGAATGTGTTCAGTAACATTTTGAAAATATTCATAGGTTTAAAAAGAAAATCATTGTCGAATGTTTAGTTATTTAAAATAATTGCTTAGTCAGACAATATTGGAAAAAAAAACCAAATTTAAGGTTATCAAAATGTCCGTACTCATTTTCTTTTCAGTTTTTGCATGAGCATTTTAAAAATCAGAATCAGATTTTATTGGAATTTAATTTTGAATTTAAATCATAAACAAATATTAGATAACCTGAACAAAACATTGCAGGAAAAAATTGAAACCATTCGAGTATTTAACGAAATCTTTTTCCTCTACAAAATTTGTTTTAAAGAAATAAGGTTATGAAAAATTTTTATTTCAAAAAATCGGTGATAGTTCTAACTGAAAAGCTCGAAATAAGTCAATTTTTTCCTCTGCAAATACTTTTGAAGCGAATGAAGTTTTTATAACTAATAGCTTTGCAGGGGTCACTTCATGAAACTGAATCTCTTTATTCGTAATATTAAAAAACGACATTTTAATTAATATCCTGACTTAATGATTTTAGGAAAAAAAACTATTGAAGCCTCATCGCTAAACTGATAAAAGATGTTTAAGAAATATTCAAGCAAAAGCTCTCATTAGCAAAAGCTCTCAAGTTTGCTGTCTCAAGCAAAAAGACACAAGTATCAGTATTAACGAGTTGAAAAAAGAGTTTTTAAAAATCAGAACAATACATTAATATTAATCATGAGTGAAAATAAAAATAAAAAATTCTTTTACGACTGTTAGTTTCTGAACTTCATTATGAAGGGAAAATTGAGACCTGATTTCAGGTGGATAAACAGGAAGTGACCCCTTAAAAATAATTTATATCAAATTTATAACGAAAACAATTCATGCCTATGTAAAAGCCGTTCCTAAAAAATTGCAGTGGCGTGTTAGTCATTAAATTCTATAATGCATATTTCGGACTTTATACATTGTGATGATAGAAAGGTATACAAACATTAATAGTTAGTGCTTATTCCTTAAAGAAAATTTGTTCATAAAATAATATTATGCTGAAACTTACTTGTATGATATAAGTTGGAAACCTGAAAATAAGTTCTATTGAGAATAATTGGCAATAATTGTTTTCATGTATAAAATTAATGTATTTTTCATGTACATGTTGTTTTTACTCTTGAATATGTTTATGAAATTATATAAAAGTATAAAAACTCGAAGATAAATTCATGATAATTTTTTCGTTTGTTCCAATTCATTGTTAAAAAAATGTCAAATGAAAGTATTTGTATAAATACTTTCTTAATCTTATGTATATACTTAATCTTTTGACTTCTTAATTTTTTGACTTTAAAATTATTTTCTCATACTTTAAAAGATTAATGGACATATTTTTTTCCGGATCTAAGTTAGTCAGCATATATTTATGTATACTGTTATATTCTTGTTCATTATTATGCCAGGTTTATCCTGTTTGCTATTATATTTATTGCATTAAAATACGCAGTGAAGAATTAATAAATTCATTTAACTGGAATTTTCTAATAAAATAATGTGTTTAAATTTAATTCTGTACAAAAGAACTATAAACATAACTAGTTATTTTCTACTAGGCAGTTAATAAGACTCAATTCTATTTATCAAAATATACAGACTATGTATTTGATGATTAAAAAAGATTTTCCGTGTTTTTACTTTTTGAAAGATTCTAGTGGGAAAACTTTATAAACAAATGAATGATTGAATATTTGATATGACATAATGACTTTAAAAATAATAATAATACAAACAATCGTGCTCACTCATGTTCTATTTTAAAGACTGTACAAAAGGAGGGAAAGTAAACCACTCTTTTCAGTACCTATCAAGCAGATTTCTTGTTAAATTTTAACAGCTCATTGGACAGGAGTTGCAGGTTTGTTGAAAGATCATCTCGAAATCTTTCATATTTTCTGTTCATAAAAGAGCAGATGTGTGATCGAGAATTGCTTCAAAGACAATCTTGAAATATTCACTATGTTGCGAGAGCAGAGCAATGATACAAAATGGCATGGATGACCTTAAAGACCATCTCAACATATTTCACATGTTTTCTTCTTACGAGAACAGATGATGAATGACCTTGATGACCTTAAAGACTATCTTGAAATCTTCCATACACTCTGATATTAAAAGAGAATATCAGTGATACAACACCGCATTGTTGACCTTAAAGTCCGTCTCCAAATTTCCTATTCTTTCTGATTTTATAAAGAGAAAAAGGTGTGTTACTGTTCAATGGAAAAATAATATGATCAAAATGTGGTTAAACATGATACCCACTATCATGAAATAATAATCTTCGATAAATTTATCTGTTTGTTCAAAGAGATTTATAAAGTTTGACCTTGAAATTAAATACAAAATATTCATGTAACTATTTTCATCAAGGAAAATGAGTTTTGTAAACAGATTTTTTAAATTTTTATACAATTGGACGGCGAGTTCCTCAAATGTTACTTAAGATGTTATTCCACTAAGTTCTTCAGTTATCATTTTATAATGAAACACGTATAATTTGTTATTTACCAAAATGATGTATGCATAACAGAATGTATTATGCAACAGAATGTATAATATAACAGAATTTATAATGGAACTGGGTGTATAATCTCACAGAATCATGTATGCATAACAGAATGTATAATAGAAGTGGATGTATAATCTCACAGAACAATGTATGTATAATGTAACAGTATGTATGATCTAGCAGAATATTGCGTGTATGATATAACAGAATGCGCAATGCAACAGAATTATATATTTTCTTTTTGGAGATCAGAATTTGTTAAAACTTTGAATTATTTGTACTATGCATGTTTGGAACATTTTTGATTATTTTAATTTCTTTTAGAAATAATATTTTTAAGTCAACTTGGCAAAATTTAACACCATTTAATATTTCAGCATAGTAAAATTAAATAAAAATTAATTGTATTGCTTGCTTTAAAAATGTTGTCAAGTTAAAAAAAAATGTATAATATGTCATTATCCACGTTTCTGGACCACAAATAAAATTGTTTTTATAGGAATACTAATATTTCAAAATTTAGTTTTATTGCCGGCCTTAAAATAGGAAATATAGTTTGCTCACTAATTGAATTATTTTCAACTAATTAATGGTATTTATTATAAATTATTGACTTGATTTCATAATAAAGTGTTGTAAATTGCTGATACTCAATAGTCTAATAAAATGTCTGAGCATAAAACTATTGTTGCTTGTAAATATGAATCATTAGATTTATACAGTGTTTGGAATCAGCGCACTACAAGTATTGAAACCACTGTAGTCGCGACTTTTTTTTCGCAGTTTGCAGTGTAGTGCGCTGCTTCTTTTTTAAAAAAGTAGTTTTGTGAGATACATAAAAACAGTAGTTTGTAGTGATTCCTGGTAACTACTTTTTAGGTTAGTTTAGTACATGAACAGTGTTCTAACACAGCCAATTTTTCGAATTTGATGGGTGCTAATCTTAGTGGGTGTGTCAAAAGACGCAATTTTAAATGTCCCTGTGACTGTGATTTAACAAAAATTGCGTATTTAGAGTCATGTATAAAAAATATTTAAGTCAGCCATTATGAATAATCGATAATGTATCACTTATAAATAATCGATACTATGAATAATCGATAATAATCACACGCGAATGTTCACTCGTAAAACAGTGATGTTATTTCAAAGGAAGAAAACGTATTTTCGATGTAACTTCATTTCTTTGAGGAAATAAAAGAGCATTAAAAACTTAAAGAAATTGCAAGTATTTGATAATTTTCTAGCATCTCTTAAATTAAATATTCGCTGTCAAGAAGGGCATAAAAAGTTGAACTCTAATGAAAAAAAATTCGAAAAAAATGCTTTTGAATAACAAAATTGGTTAAGGAATAAATATTTCCAAGCAATTCTTTATGTTTAATGTAAGCCAATGTTTTAATACAAAACTTTTTTAAACGTAATGTATAAATTAATTTCTCCAGAAGTGTAAATTATACAGGAGTAAATTAATTTCTCCTGCAAAGTTCGGTTCTTTAAAGTATCGAAGTAATCACCACAATTCAGAAGTAGTTTGTAGTCACTTTATTTTTAAAAAATAATTAACTGCATTATTAACAAAGTAGTTGTAAATGTAGTAAACTGCAAAAATAATGCCGTTTTTCTGACCTCTGGTTAGATTTTCAAATTCATGACTTTCCATGAATAATTCCAAGAATTTTTCATGACCTAACGAAGTTATTATTTTCTCCGATTAACATTTAAAAAAGCATTATAATAACATTAATTGAAATCATAGGTATTGTTAGCTTTTACATCGATCGTATTCTTTTATTTTCACTGACATACAGACTGTAAACAAAAACATTAATAACAAGAAAAAAAGGAAAGTTATTTGGTTGTTCAGCAACCATCCAAAGTTATAATTATTACAATTACAAGAGTTGCCAGCCATGTTGAAACAATTATTTAAACTATCTCTCCATTGATGTCGCAACATCCTCCCCATCCTGGTGAACTCAAGAGGGATGACCAGCTGTATAGGTCGAGATATAGTCTTTCCAACCACTCTTAACACGCATGTTCGAATTTCCCCATCACGTCCTTTAATTAGATTGGTAAATCGGTCCTTTTTTTCACACGTGTCTCGGTCTGACGTCTTCTTGTAGTAGCATAAGATCTCCTGCACGGATGTTGAAGGAGTTATGAATATTGAGAACTTGGTGATAAGAGCGTAGTTGAAGGAGATATTCTTCGCGCCATCTTTTCCAAAATATATTCAACACGTCTTGTCGTTGTTTGTAGAGTTTCGTAAGTCTTGGATTATTATTCATATTTGTGGGTATAGCTGTTAATTTTCAACCGTTAGGAAATGTGCCGGTGTCAAGGCTTCCGTTTTGTCTTCATATCCCTCTTCATATACAAGGGATCTGCCGTTAAGGGCGGCTTCTATCCCTACAAGTACAGTGGATAGACTTTCGTTGTCTAATAGTGCCCGACCAAGAGATTTACGAATAAACGCTCCCACCAAACCTCCCCACCACCTTGAGCCGCGATGGCTCAGGGGAAAGAGCGTTCGCCTTCCAATGAGGAGAACCTGGCTCGAATCCCAGTCGATACGAATTACGCATCCGACTTGAACCGATCACAGTGATTACGCGAAATATGTTCAGTGGTAGACGAATCATGGATTAGAGTCCCCTTGTCGTCAGGCTAACCGTGGGAGGTTTTCGCGGTCTTTCTCTCCATGTAACGCAATGCGGGATAGCTTCATCAAAAAAGTCCTCCACGAAGGCAATTTTTTTCCCCAATACTCGATCCAGGAGTGTCTTCTGGATTGGGTTCAACATTACAAAGCTACGGAGTTAACATTAGTTGTCGTAAACCCATAAATTTGGGTCAGCTGTTCAGCAGCGGTTGTAAAATAAAATAAAAAACCTCCCTACCAAGCCGCTTTGGGTACGATGAACTTCCGAATAATGCCATTATGAGCGTAAAACTGTTGCACTTTAGTCGATGTAAGATTGTTCCATGGAAGTATTAGCTCCATATTTGCAGCGTGGAAAGTGGCAGCATTGTCACTATAGATGGTATGTCGTAGTCCTCTACGACCCACAAATCGCTGCAATGCTAACAGAAACTTATCTGTCGAAAGATCTGACACAAGTTCGAGATGTAAGGCTCTGGTCGTTGCACAGGTAAACTGCATCTGAAGGATTCAAAGTGCGAGTATGTAAAGGGCAGGCAAAATTTATTTCTGTGGTGAAAAATGGTGTAACTGGATTAATTCTATCAGCTGGTAAAGGAGCTTCAACTTGAGTGCAGCGAATTGTTCGTGACATCTTGCATCGTAAACATTAGTAAATCACTTGTTTGATGGCCTGACGATCTCGTAGAATCCAAAAATTTGAACGTAGTTCTGAAAACACTATTCTGACACTTAGGTGGTGCATTTTGATATGTGTTTGACGTATCAGCAGGCTTGTGAAATGATGAGATCCGTCCAGCAAAATTGGATGTTTTGGGGACTCTGATAAACTCGAAAACCGCAATCTACCACCTATACGTATTAGTTTATTTTCAAATAGTTGATTGAATTTTGTAATGGTTGAAATGTTTTGCAGTGGCTTGGGTGTTGATAAAGCTTATTCTGACGGAAATGACTCTTTCTGAACCATTTGTATACAGTAATTTCTAACATCATATACCGCTGCTGCAAAGTCAAGGTTCTCCGACTTTCTTGTCTTGAGATATACAGTTCGAGATAAAGCGTAGAATCCATGCAGTAACACGTATCAGTTTGGTGTAGGAACTGTAGGTCTTTGCGTCTATGATGTGTTGAAAATTAGTAACATGATATGTTTGAATTTCGTTATTTTCTTTACCTCTAAATTATGAGAGCAAACTTTTTTAGAATCTGGTCAGCTTTCTGTGGGTTTAGTCAGCCAAGTTGGTCCTTTCAACCAGATATTGAGATCTTTCAGTGTAGATGGTGGAACGCCTCTTACTAGTTTGTCGGTTGGATTGTCTTATCCCGGGCAATGCCGCAACTGTGAGGGGTCAGTGTATGAAATGATTTCTGTTACCCAACTGCGCACAAATGTTTTCCATCTGTTGGGATTACCACCGAATCCAACCAAGAGTGACTTCAGAGTCGCTTCATAATGTGGCTGTTGTTGTTGTTGTTGTTGTTAATTTACGTCGCACTAGAGCTGCACAATGGATTATTGGCGACGGTCTGGGAAACATCCCGGAGGATGATCCGAAGACATGCCATCACAATTTTGATTCTATGCGGAGGGGATGGCACCCCAGCTTCGGTAGCCTGACGATTATTATGAGAAGTAACTATGTACAAAACTGTACCATAAGCTCACTCAGATGCATTGCAGAAAATATGAGTAATAAAGGAAGCAAGCGATGGAATTCCTATGAAACGAGGAATTTCTTTAGAGCAAATGGCATCCCGCTGGGCTGTAACTGTATGCCACATAGTAGCCAATTGTCTCAAGATTTCCTCCCAATTGATTCCAAGAATCCAATTACCTTGAAAGAGTATCTTTCCAATTATCATGAATGATGTAAACAGTCTTAAGGGATGGTACAAACTTGCGACATAGCGGAGTAACTACGTCTTAGTAAGTGACTTATCTAGAGAAGCACAAGGTGAAGTCTCAAAAGCGTTGCTCAAAGTATCAGTTTTCGTGTTCCAACCAATGCCTAAAACCGCAGTTTTGGTTTTGAAAATTTCTTTATTACACTGGTGGACAAAATTAAGAGATGGAAAGCATTTCCGCACATTTCTATGACACTATATTCTTCTATGACGCACATTTCTATGACGCTATTTCTGGACTGTTATTGATATGGAGGGAACCTGGAACCCGATACCATCCCAGCAACATTATCGAAAGGGACCATTATGCTGGTGGAGGACTCATGGTTTGGACAGGGATCATGCAAATATACCCGCACACCGATCCATGTGTTTGACAATGGTTTCGTGAATGCCCAGAGGTACAGGCAGGAGGTCCTATAACCCTATGTGCGTCTTTTCAGGGGCGCTATTGGCCCTGAGTTCATTTTTATGGACGACAATGCGAGACCACATAGGGCTCTCATGGTTGGTGAGTATCTGGAAGGCGAGGATATTCAACGAATGGATTGGCCCGCCAAATCTCCTGACCTGAATCCTATTGAACATGTTTGGGATGCTCTTGGGAGAGCTATTGCGATGCACCAACCTCCCCCAAGAACCTATCTGGAGTTAAAAATTTCTCTGGTGGAAGAATGGGAGGATCTTCCACAAGTCTTCCTTAACTCCCTTATTAACAGCATGCATACTCGTTGTGCATGCTGTCTGTCAGGGGTGACCATACACCATACTAGAGGCAACACACACTGTGCAAGCCTCACTTTTATTGTCATCTTTTCTCCTTAAGTTCAGACTACATTGGATTTATTGGCAATAGGTCTTGCCAGTGAATGGCACTTTCATTTTTGTTTTGCATACTTTATTATCATGGAATAAGCTATATCCATACCAAATTTCATTTATTTATATTCAGTATTTTTTGAGATATTTGGAAAAATATCTTCCATCTCTTAATTTTGTCGACCAGTGTAGTTTCTAGCAAAGTTTTGAAGCTTCAAAAAGTTAGAAAGCCCATTTTTCCATCGGTAGTTTTATGAGTAACATCAAATCTTTGATTTCCTTTTTAATACCTTTATTTGTGTTTCAGTTTCTAGACTAGCCACAAAATCATCCATATATAGGTGTTTATCTAAAAGAGCTGCAGAAGTAGGGAAGTCATTTATATGATTGGCTGCTAGTTCTCGTGTAGTAGCACACAACAAGACATACCGAATGGTAAGCGAGTGAATCTGTATGTAGTTACTTCATCTATAAATGTAGCTGTTTTTGAAGAGCCCTTCTTTTGCTTGTACCATAAGAATCTTGTTGCATCTCTGTCCTTTGGATGCAAAAACAATTGTAGGAAAGTTTGTTTACCATCACAGGTTAGGGCAAATTTGTGCTGTCAAAATTGTAGAAGACAACCAACAGTCTCAGGTCGAAGATTCGGACCAACATCTAAAGAGTTGTTTAATGATGGCATGCCAGGAGCATGTGATGAGGCGTCAAAGACGATTCGCCACTTTATATCATCTTGCTGCTTCTTTTTCACTGCATGATGTGGCAGATAGTATACGGTGTTTTCAGTTTCATTTGCAGATGGGCAAACTTCAACATGTCCTTGTTCAATGTAATTCAAAATGTATTTTTCGTACTGTGTCTTCAAAGATTCATTTGATGTCAGTCTTTTTTTAAGTGATTGAAATCTGTTCTCAGCAGTAGTTTTGTTTGTTGGTAATGCTGAGACTATAGCTTTCCAAGGTAGAATAATTAGTCAGTAGAATAATTTTGCATTGAAGTCATTCTGATTAAGTGGAAAGGAAATAAAAATGAAGTTACGTAAATAAATTCTCACTTCTTTAAACTCAGGAACGTAATTTTTTTTTCTCAAATCCTGGTCCGCAGAAGGTTTGAGTATTTCGGCACCATAATGTTAGCTTTTATATCTATCGCATTCTTTTATTTCCGTTGACATACAGACTATAAAAAAACATTAATAACAAGAAAAAAGAAAAATTATTTGGTTGCATAGCAATCAGCCAGAGTTACAATTATTACAATTACAAGAGTTGCCAGCCGTGTTAAAACAATTATTTAAACTAACTCTCCATTGACGTCGCAAAAAGTATAACCAAAACTGTTATACTCTGCATCTTCATATTTATAGTTTTTAATTTAAAAAACAGAGTAAAGAAAGAGTGGAATCAAAAAAATAGCTGAAAAAAAGCTATTTTTTTTCTGCAGATTTATATTCTAACGATGCTTTTCCTGTTCATCGGAAAGAAAAGAAATACTCCTGATTTTTCTGTTCTCATTTCGGAATCAAAAAATTCGCCAATGACTGGCTTGCTTCAGCTAGGATTTTAAATTGATAAAATAAGAAAAAAAAATAAATAATAACAAAAATTCTGAAATCACAGAAGTTCAAAAAATAATTTGCTCTAGAAATGGTTTTTTCTTTCATTTTTAGAATGAACACCATAATTTTTAAAGAACACGATAAAAACATTTTATATTTTACTAAAATATGACTGTGATTGGGGACTTTGTTACAAATTCAGATATTCGGAGCATCGTGAAATTGGGGGGGGGGGATAAATTCCATTTTAAAAATTTGATTTTTAGGCGTCCTAAATCTATGACTTTCCATGATTTGTTTAGAAAAATAGTTTGTTGTAGAAAAACAATTGTTTCCATGATTTGTTTAGAAATCATGACATTTCATGACAAATTTTGTTTAATACCGAAATTTATGACTTTCCATAATTTCTCATGACTTTCCAGGTGATCAGATACCCTGCATTTAAAACGAGAACAATAAGTGTTGTCAATGTTTAGTGATCCAATCCATTACAGTTATTCAAAAAATACAGGTTACAATAAAACAAAATCTGATAAAACAGGCTACCCTTAATAATATAATTTCAAAATCTTTTACACAAATTAATATCCTGACATTGAATCATTATTGAGAAACAAAAGATTAATAAAATTTGAGTGCTGGAGGAAGCAAAAGGGTATTGTTTTCACACCTTCGAAATACAGCCAGCAAAGAAGTTGAGTTTCCCAATCTCTCTCTCTGATAATGCGATTTTATTTCTTAGACATTAATCTGCGAAATCAAATTTTCAAATTTTTTTCAACAGTGATTCTAAGAAACGAGGTCAAAGGTTGTGCTTAGGGAACTCCATATACATTAAATTGCACTAATACATTTGCTACCCCTAATATGTTCATTTCTTTGATAGGGATTCTACGTCAAGGGTGGTGATTACGGAATAATCTTTTAAATTATATTTGTTATCCCTTGTTATCGTCGCTTTGAAACTAAACCGTTGTAACACAAAAAAGTCGAAAAATGAGATTTTTGGGTCATTTTGTGTAAAAAAAGTCACCCTTTTAGAAAAACAACCTGTTATCTTTATAGTTCCACAAAGTTAATTTAGAGAGCAGATAAATCGTCATCGCATTGCCGCGATTAGCATTAGCGGGGAAAGTTTGAAATCGCTCTCCTGGAAAACTTGCTTTTTTGAGTTACCACGGTTTAGTTTCAAAGCGACGACATGTTCATTTCTTTCACAGAGATTCTATGTTAAGGGTGGTGCTAGCGGAACAAAACTTCAAAATTCATTGACATCTGTGACTGAAAGCTTAAAGTTTGTTTCGGAGCGTGCAATAGCATAAAAAAATATATAGTTAAAAATAAAAAATTAATACAGCAAAAAGAAGTAAAAAAAGGAACTTTTTTAATCTCATTGAAAAAAAAACATTTTTTTAAAAAAAGTAACGAAACAATTGCATTTTGCATACGATATATTGTATTCACATTCACTATAAAATGTTTTATTCAGATTTAAGAACTTAGTTTAATAATTTGTTTACAATGCTTCCTGAACCATTCTTATTTCCGATTTCAACCATTTATGTGAATAAAACTGGTTCTAATTGACCCATACGATAAGCATCGGTATGCTTATCAATAGTTTCAATGAGCCGGGATAAAATATCGCAAGAGCAACACATTGTTTCAATAAAACGTCATTTTGCTTATTTTTTATGGTATAAAGTTTTTCTGTTAACTTCTTTTCGTGTCACTGAGTGTGGATTCTTGAAATTAAAATTTCAAACACTTTCTAAATAGCTAAAGGCTTTGTAAACTCTTCTTGAGCTTGTTGCCTGACGATGAGGAACGTTTCAATGCTTTACTGATAGCTACGAACATAATTTATTTTCATATTATCGCAAAATAAAATTCATACTCAATCAAAATCCATCTTCATCACTCTCAGAAAATTTGACATATTTTTACTATAAGAAAAATATCGTCAATCCAAAATTCTGCAATTTTTAAAATATTTGGAATCTTCAAAAAGAACTACATCACTGCATTCAATGCTAATTTAAGTCAAATTTATTTGAATTTTGATAAAATTTAATTAATTTAAATTAAATTAAGTCCTCAAGGAGAAAATTTATCGTTAATCGAAATTTAGTTCTATTTATGAAAAAATGAACCTAGTAAAAAAATTTAAGAATTATGTTTTTAAGTATATTAAAAAAATGACTTTACTTCGGTTAGACATAAAAGAAAACAAGAAAAAAAAAACGAAAGGAGCATTGCTTTTGCTCTCAACGTATATCAACATTGAAAATTCCTCCAACATTTTCACAGGGGACAAGTCTAACGTGAAAAACGTTGTTTAGAATTTTTTATTTATTTTAATTTATTTTTAAAAGTAACATTAAAATTAAGAGAGAAAAAAAGTTTGCTTTATCTTAATAATTAGAATTTGTTAATGCCTTACAAAATGGCGAAGAATGAAATGAAAATTTTTAACAGTGCATGTCTATCCTTCTTAAATTAAATGTCAAAACCAGCTGTTGAGTTGTCACAATTTATCCAACGACTATCGCTTTGTTTAGCTTCAGCTTCCTAAATCCAATTAATATGTGGAACATATCAAGGCCAGATGGCAGTTGGTTTCTTAGGATATTAATTACGGGTTGCAAAGTATAAATATCCGTATTAAAAGAGACTCGATCAGTATCTATTAAGCTCGATCTTTCTTTCTGGCATACAGTAAGTATCGAAAACCATAAGTAAGTATATCGATTTTTTTACAATTATTCACCATGGATTTGGGCTCGAATGCAAACTATTCGGAGACGGGTAAAGCGTTGATGCGTATGACGAGGGAGATGAGCTTAGAAGAGCAAGGAGCGAATTGCAAAAAAATTGAAAAAGGTCAGAATTATCTGGACGCGGCAATTGGTGTAGCAGGCGTTGCATTAGGAGTGTTTGCCTTGTTTACCATGCCACTGCTAATCGTGGTCTCCTCCGCGATATTAGTTAATGTACTGATTGCCAAGGCTTTAACAGCAGACGAGAACATTGAGAGAGAATGTGCTGATCTCCCTTTTAAAGAGTTAGACGAAAAAATGAAAGCTAGACAAGAAGAAACAGATAGAAAAATTGCAGAACAAACTGAAATTTTAAAAGAAGTAAGTGAAAAAGTTGGCCAAACTCTCGACAAAATAGAAGATGTAAGAAAGGAAATGGGCGATAACTTTCAGAGGGTATTGAATAAAATCGGGGATCTGGATGCCAGTAACCCAGTTTCCGAAATAAAAACAGCGATCGAATCCATTTCATTTAGTGAGGAGAACAAAAGGTTAGCAACTCCTGAGCGTTATGTTTACATCATCCAGCAAGAAGTAGCAAAAAATTCAGATTCATCTCTTTACAATTACATTGGAATGCAAGGTAGTCTGTATAATGCCATTTTTGCTGTGATTAACAAGAAGAATACCATTAAACCGAACATTGCCCTTCCCGGACTCAACATTGGAGTTACGACTTACGCATCGACCGTCATTACTCTCATTCAGCAACTACGTTACATGTCGGAATATGCTTACCAAAAGGGTGATTTGAAAAAGTTCAACAACTATTTCAATCGTCTTTGCTTTGATTTCAATTATTTCAAACTGATAGTTAATGGTTCCTCAAAAAAGCAAGGTATAATCGATCAAGTTACGCAGATGTTAAACGAAGCAAAAAAAAGTAAAAGCAAGCAAGATCTTGGCGATGAATTGTTCGACAATATTGGAACATACATCACCCAACTTAATCAATTAAAGCAAAAGATTACAGCACTTTCATTAGATGTGCTCGAAACCACCCCAGATAAGAACATGGATATTGATTTCAACTCCAGAACTGGGAATCAACGCAGTAGTAGTAACTTCTTAGACTGGAAAAAAGGCACTAAGGTCAGTTACGCAGTGCAGTTCGAAAAAGATGGTAAGTATTCTAAAGTTAGTGGCTGGACTTCACCACAGGATATAGTGGATATAGCCAATCCGGATATTGTATTCCGGAAATCGAGCAATATGAATAGATTAGTCTTCCGTAAATTTGGCAATGGTGATGCAGAATTGGCATACATCCTCCCTGGCTCGGAAGTAAAATTTAGAGACGTCCACAGGGATTTGTATAATTTAGCTTTTAAAAACTCCCTCAGCGAGTCGCAGGTTTCAAGTAACATGGATAGACTCATTAGATTGGGAGCGAATGTTAAGGCAGTGTTTGAGGGTAAACGAACCGTTATTCATGCGGCAGCTATTGCTGGACGATCTGTTATG